TCCGACATCTGATCTGGCCGTGCACCGCCTCGGATCAAATGTATGGCGAGCGCTCGGCAATGTTTCTTGATTAAACAGAGCGCGGGGCGGCGCGTTTGAGGCAGTTGTCATTCAGTCGAGTGTCGCTGCCGCTGAGCCATGTTTCATTAATATTGCTCCTGCACAGTGTGACGCCTCAGCGCAAATGAAAATAATCTCACAGTCCGCAGTGACTTATGTTCCTTTGAAATGCTTCTGCATAGTGAACATTGTTAGACTTCCTTCTCCTGATCAGTTTACGCGGAAATGTCGCTCTTCCTGGCAGCTGTGAGAACTACTCACTGAGCAGAATCAATACAAAAGCACAACCTAATAAAACCTCCCCGACAGCGCATATCTTCCGAACACCATTCAGTCCGCAAATACCACCACACCGACAATACACGACGCGCCAGAATGGTCTCCAAACAGCCATTGACAGGACACCGCTCACCCGGATGGGTCTATATCGGGAGCCGGCGGTCTGAGGTGTCTTTGTCTGTGCTCGAGCGTCGAGTGGCGGTGTGCTGCCGGCCGCCGCGTGCGCCGTGTCCGCCGGCTCGCTCACTGACGGAGCGTCCGATCCTCACGGCGATAGCGCCAAAGACCGGCAGGTGACCGGTGTGCCGGTCCGGGGCGGCTGCGAGTGAGACGACCGGGGCGCGCAGTGAGACGCCGTGCCGAGATTGGGACGTAGCCCGCAGCTGCAGCATTAGGCAACTGATTCTCTGGGGACCGGACGGCAGAGTGGAATGTTCCAACTGTTCTCGACTCTGGGAGCGTGCAGTTTGAGTGAGTGAGTAGTCTACACCAGCCACTCAATGAAATGGACCCTGGTCAGTGACATCACGCACACAGGAAGTCCGCTGTCCACTGCTAGTGACGTCAACGTTACGTCATACCAATACCATAGTTCAGTATGCGTGAGTCGCTGTTCTCAATGCATCGCTTTTGCTCCCTTCGTCACGCCGCACGGTGAATGACGTCTGTTTTTACTCTGATAAACAACCGTATCATTTCACCGACAGCGTGATAATTGTCTCATCCCACACGCCTCCAAGACGACCGACACGCAACATCCGACGCCGGCGACAAACGCGACGCAACCCAGCGCGCTGCACGTGGCGCGTTTGTCTCCGGTGCGTCACGTGTGTGTGGGCGCGAGCCGAGTCGTGCCACACCACTAATTACCGCGGTGCTGGGCCGGACCGGGGTGATAAGGAGCGCGCGGCGGGTGGCGGAGCGGACGGGCGCCACAGACAGCGGAGCAAGGAGAAAAGCACGAGCCGGACACAGGGCCGGCCGGTGGCCAGCCGGAGACACAAACTTCAGTGGCGCCACGAAACGGCGGAGGCCAGGGTTATCGACAGAAACGACATGCCCAGCTGGTTTAGAGTTTCATCTACCGATTTCGAATAACTTGGTCCCGAAAACTCGTAGCACGTCATCAAAATCAATAGGTACGTATGCTCTTGATAACTGTGATTAAATTGGTACCTGTAGGTATGAACCTTCTGTTAATCTTGGCCTTGGTCTTGATTTTCTACAGCATAGGAAATGTGAAATATCGTGAAGAAAAAAAAGGAAACATTGCTTACTCAATAAAAACTTGAAACATTGCTTACTTAATAACCTATGCAGCATCACCGTAACACTAACCCCATGTGGCCACCGGATATGCAGGCTGAGCATTACGCACCAGAAATGCCCCGTTGTTGGTTTAGCATAATTCATGATGAATGTAGTATGCAGCCGGCAGAGCGGCGATTAAGCTGCGGGTTATTCGTTATCCCGCCTATTGAGAGCGGCGCTCGTGAATAGCAGGCTGTTATCGTGCAGGATATTGTTGCACCCTAATCATATATGGACAACCATCTATCTCGCCGATGAAAGTCGCCTACCCCTATTTGGCAGCGCTTTGTCTCAACTCTCAGCATGTGTAATGCTTCACTTCAGATGTTCTGATGGCTCGCAGGGCTCGGTTTACGAGCGTGCCTGAGTCATGCAGTGCATTTCATGAGCGGACGACGGTGGTTTTATTACTTTTCTCGGACAGATTCGAGCGCAGACAGCTGTGCTGTGCGCTGGTCGACTCAGCGGGTCGGTCACCGCCGGCCGAGACCCTACCGCAGTTGACACTCTCAGATGATATGTTGCCCGGCGCTGTGTTTAAAGCAGACCGGCAAATAGAGCCCCCGGGATCCAGCACTCGTTAAACTCGGCATCGCGGCGCCGCACGGACGCACACGGCGTTCGGGAAACACGGGGCGGCGCCTCTGCGTTCCCGGAACGTCCACCATCCGTTCTGAGGATGTGAATAAAGCTGTCGAGTACGGTTCAGTTGGCGGGTCGACTCATCGACGCCGTTTGCGGCCGTCCGATGGGAGGGCCGGCCGGCGCCCGTCGCCGAGCGCGCCGCTCCACCGGCGGGCCACGGACGGGTTTACGAGCCGGGCCGGCCGCGTGTTGGTCGGACGGTAATTCGCCATCAGTTTATTGGGATGGAGACGTTTTACGGCGTCACAACAGCGCGTCGGTGGGCCGTCGGGCTGCGTGCCGTGGACACCAGCTGGCGGGCCGCCCCCGCCCCCGCCCCCGCCCCCGCCCGCGCCGCCGCGCCGGCTGACGGCTGGGGTGACCGATGTCCAGTGCCGTAATGGACCGGCCCGGCCCCGCCCGGCCGCCACCGGGACCAACCCGACCGTCGTAAATTATCCCATATGTCAGCGCTGCCGATCGCACACGCTTTTACCGCCTGCACCCCGGCGGCGTCACGGCACCGCCCGAGCAGCCGGGCGACACGGCAACGTACTGCGTGACCCAGCAGGGCGACAGTGTCAAACAGGGAGCCGAGGACAGCAGTATGGCAGCCTTCGACACGGCGCTACAGGAGCCGGCAGCTGTCAGTGGGCGGATTACCCCGCTCGGCAGTGGCCGAGACGGTGACATAACCCGATCCAACTGTGTTCGACAGCCGGATTATCGCCCTCAGCAGTGTCTGACAGCCACATAACTTCACGTTCAGCAGCTGAATGACACAAAGACAGTACGCAGCCTGAGAAACAGTACCATCGAATCCAAGTAGTTCATTCTTTGATCATACAGGGTCTTTCATAATGAATGCTACTTTTGAAAGAGCTATTTCTCAGGACATATATGTTCCTCATGTAATATGTACCATCACATGAAACAGAAACACATTAGCGTTTTTGCACACACAACTTTCATTTTAATGCTCCTCAGGAATTTTCCACTGTATCGCCCTTAATTAAGGCACACGTTTCGGCCCTCTGACGAAGGTGTCGACCCCGCGCCTCACAACGTCTGGGTCCAGGCTTCCAGTAAACCTCTCCACTGTGGTTCACAGTGGACGGCTGCAAGAGGGTTTTGTCTCAGATCTGCCAATGCGACTCCCCAAAGCCAGTAGTTCAGCGGGGAGAGGTCAGGACTCCGTGGTGGCCATGGTCGCTCGGTGAGGCGGCTGATAACGCGCTCTTCGAAATTCTCGAAGCCACTGGCGCAACAGCCGCCATGGTGTGCACTGGGTACCATCCTGCTGGAACCACAGGCCGTCTCTTTGAACCTTGTCCCTGACCTGAGGCAGAAGCATTCCTTGAGCAGCCTGAGGTAAGCCACCCCGTTCAGTGTTGACCCAGGGGAGAGCCAATGGATGAAGACTTGTCCGTCGACCGTAATCCGTAATGCGTTTTAGTGGTGTCGACATACTCTGCTTTTCCGTGAAGGAAAATTGGCGTTGTGAATTTTTTTATTTTTGGGGACAAAACCGGTATATTGAATTAGGGACAAAACCCTAATCAATTTGCAACAATACGCATATAAAATTCACGCGGAAGTGATACATTAAGAACTCCTAACTAAATGTTCAAAAGTAACATTCATTATGAAAGACCCTGTATAGGCAATCTTTCAAAAATAATCATGTAGCCCACCAACATAGAACATCAGCCATCGTCTTCCTGGTTTACAGACATCAGATTTGATCGAGTTCCTCGACCAGTTTACGACTGACTCTTTCTCATTTGCTAGGCTGGGGCGCATGTCACCCAAACGGCCTTGGTTGTGAGAAGGCACAGCCCTCCAGATGGGCAGGAGAGGGATGGGGAGTGGGTGGAGAGGTGCACCAGACGCGTAACCGCGGTAGTCTGCGAAAACAAGCAGACCAATCTGAATGTGTGGCATGTCAATCGTATCTGTTGATATATGCCATCGTCGACAATATTCAAGCTGTGTTTTCGTTATGTTATCAGAATCATGACAAACACCATTGAGGGTGGGATAAGCAGGCCAGGTATTCCACGATGTTTGTATATGCTACTTCGAATCTGAAACCAGCGCATTCAGCGCGTCCAGTGCAGTGGATTCCTTCATTTTTCTTGACGTTATTGTATTATTCCTTTTTATCATTACTTCCGTCGCGACTGCTTGTTAGTTTTTGTCCTCTTTTGAACAGTCGTCGTCTACATATGCACTGCAGGTTCGCAGTGTGCTGTTGCGCGGTTATGCTTTATGCTAACTTTGCTCTATCGCTGTGACATAATCGGGTTATGTTATGTTAAGATATCGCACGTTCCAAAACAGTATGAGGACGGGTCCCTTTTTTGCTATTTTGACTAGTGAAATTAGTTTCGTCAACCTTTGCCTTGGGATGATGGCAAGGTGGCCCGCTGTAAGATCAGTATGGACCCGAGCCCAGGCCTGCCTTCTGAAGATGACACGCAATTCGTCTTGTGGTCTGACGGGTTGAGGATGGGCCGCCGTTCAACTTGTAAACACATTAACTTATTCGACAAGCCTTCAGGGACAAGGAAATTGAGAAAACTGCATAACAGCTCGATATCAAACTTGTTTTGAGCATGCTGACCTCTGCTTCTGTTCGGTATACCGTGTCTACGCCACAAAATACCCAAAGGCGACGACCTCGGGACAGCAGCGTAACCCTCTCTGCACCCCTGTGTCCTCAGTGAAGCCGTTCTTTCTGCGTCCGCCGGAGGACATCACTACCGCCGTCTCCCAGCGTGCCGAGCTCACCTGCCAGGTGTCTGGCGACCCCCAGCCGCAGATCGTCTGGAAACGGGTGGGCGCCGAGCTACCCGTCGGCCGCGTCCTAGTCACCGACGAGAAGAGCCTGCGTATCGACGACATACGACTGGGGGACGAAGGAGAGTACTTCTGCCGCGCGGAGAACGCCGTCGGGAGTGTCACAGGATCTGCGAGACTCTCCGTTACAGGTGGGTACGGGTGACCCGGGCTGGAGAGGTCTGAAGGGTAGGGTATAGGCGCGCTTCTTCGTTAGCAGATCCGCACGGCTGACCCACGCTCGAGAGCGTCCAGGCGCGTGGAGTGAGGCGTGAACCCTCTCGGGTCAGAGGCAGGGGAAACGGTTCGAGTGGAGGGGTGGGGTTCGGCACGCGCCTCTCGGTCACGGCTCAATAAGGATGACCCGGAAGGAGGTGTGAGGAGGGTGGGGTCGGAGTCCGGAATGCCTCCTGGCCACAGGTGCGTAGAGGGACCTAAGTGGTGGGCGATCGGGGTTGGTCGGCTCCCGAGCTTATACAGGTGGCTGAGGACAGCATTTGTAACGATTAAATGAATTAGTGATTATGTCCGTAATGTGTTCAGCTTATTCATGAACTGTATGTAATTAATGTGTGAATTTTAGCAATTGTTACCCTTGGTGATCTAAGCCCCATTGAAATCCTGTGTTTGCATTCATCGAACTCATGGCCAGCGCACACGTGCACCAATTCACACCACTGGTACAATGACGTCAGCAGCCTGCCCCGTGCCATGAACTCATAAACAAACCAGCCAGTTGCCCGGCCTTAGCGTGCACGGCGCCTATTGCACTTCTATCGAATGAAGGCTGCGTGGGAGTGGGAAAAGGGGAGGGAGTTTACACCGGTAGTTTCGTGCGCCCCTCTCCCTCCGCCCCTCTGTGGGAGGTGGGCGGTCTCCTTCCTGTCACACTCGGTCACTCTCCCGAACAGACCGCCCGAGCCGTCAGTCAGAGTCTCAGCAGAGCGGGCCCGCGTCTGCGGAGGAAGCGAGGAGCAACAGGCGGAAGGACCGGGCCTGGGGCGGGCACAGGACCGGGCTGTATGCAGGGCGCGGGCCGCTGTCTGACGGGAAAGGGCAGTCAGGCGGCGGCTGACGGTTTCTTTGTGGGTCTCCCGGCGCCGCCCTGCGCTAACCCGCCGCTAAGTGCGCTGTCCAACATGTCCGGTCAGCATCGCCCCAATGCGGAGAGTTCCGAGCGGCACACTGCGGCACTACTCCGGGAATGTCGGCGGAACTTTGGCCATGTTTGACGGCTGTCCGGCGCCGGGCGGGGGCGGGGGCGGCCCTCCTCCGTGTCGCTGACAGACCCAGCGGCTGTCAGCTGTCACAAGTTCACGGGCCGCTGCGCCGCACGCCGGCCAGCGGCCGACCACATGTGACATGAAATACTCGCCGCCCCAGCCGAGACGGTATATGGAAACGGATCACCCACGATCAAAGGCCATTTTTTGGTCGGTAGGCGACGGTTACAGCTGGCTTCAGTTTGATCTACCGCTGGGGCGATATGAAATGAAGTTGGATTGTTGTGATAAATCACCTCGTTTGGCTATTTTGGAATTCATATTACGCACCCAGTAACCCGAGACAAAAGCCTGTTAGGCCGCCGCCTTTCCGAGATATTACGATCACACGCTGACTGAAATCGACCGACCCGCTCGCTGGCGAAACTACACTCGCTATTTGCTTTACACAACTTGCCGACTGGTTGTGAAGCTTGTCGAGATCAATCCTGTGCGCCTTTGTGGCATCACTCGGCGCTTGTGTAGCATTGCGATCCCGCTGTCTGGATTGCCACCGCCTGACTGGCTCAGTGCCCCGCAGTGACCTCATCCGCACGCTCCGTTCACTGTCCATCCGCTCCTCTGATGTGGCCCGGCGGATGTTGTCGACTTCTCGTGTCCAGTTCTAAGGCCAGTTGTCACTCGCTGCAATGCTTGTCAGCTGGGCTGGCGGCTGGCGGCAACATACGGAATTATAAATGATATAGTCACGCACAGGCGCCTCCGTGCCTGGACCAATGTTATGCGGGCTCCAACAGACTCCGTCCACCTCCGCTTGTCCTCCCATCACTGGAACACAATCAACCTCACTGACCTCACACCTCCCTCTGACCCTGTTTGAGCTGCGCCTGACCTCTCGCTGACCTCCCACAGCGCCGCCGAAGATTACCACCCGGGCGACGATCGCCGAGTCGGACATCTCAGAGCCGGTGGCGCTCGACTGCCGCGCCGAGGGCCGGCCCACGCCGATCGTCTACTGGCTGAAGGAGGGCCGTCCCGAGCCGCTGGCTCCCGGCGGACGGCACACGCTCGGCACCAACGGCTCCCTGGTGCTGTCCCGACCGCGGCCCGGCGACCAGGGCTACTACGTGTGCGGCGCCGTCAGCACGGCCGGCTCCGACCTGCTGCGGATGGAGCTGCTGCTGCGCTCGCAGCCGGTGGCGCAGCTGCCGGCGCCGCAGCAGCAGGCGCGCCAGCTGCTCGACCGGCGCCCGGTGGCCCTGCTGACCGCTCGCGCCGAGTCGCCCTCCGGCGCGCTGCTCGTCTGGAGCTCGGAGCCGGGCCTGTCGCCGGTGGATGGGTTCTATGTGCGGTACCGACCGGTGACGGGAGGTCCGTTCGCGACGGTCACCGTGCCCGACCCGGCGGCCACCAGCCACCACCTGTCGGCGCTGCGCAGCCACACGGAGTACCAGGCGATCGTGTCACCGTACTACCGAGGAGTCGAGGGCCGGGCCGCGCCGCTGGTCACCTTCACCACCCTGCAGGACGGTAAGGAGTACCGCGGGACACCGGGAGAGGGACGAGCCACCGAGCTTAGTCACCAGTCAGTCACCACCGGTATAGGATAACAAAACACACAGCTTTTGGAATACCACACCAGGGTGATGTCACGGGGTGGGCGGCGCACTATTTTCAGACCACGAGTCTGGGTGAAAGCGGACCCCGTGCGGACCACACTCGGGGTAACGCCGAACACCTCTGACAGCGCAGACACGCGGCGGGGGAGGTGCGTCGGTCCCGAGCGTCTCCGCGCGGCCACGGCCAGACGGAGACGCACCGGGCGCCGCGATGTGGGACGGAACGGAGCGCCGTACCGAGGGGAGCGGTCCGGGCCGCCAGCGCCGTCCCAGACGGAGCGCCCGCGACAGTCACAGCCGAGAGGCCGAGCCACGACCCCTGCACGCCACATTACCGGAGAGAATGCCGTGCAGCGCGCACCCGAGCGGCACCGGGTGCACATTGAGCGGCACGCAGCGCACACTGCGGCCTGTCGTTCATTTATTTCACGGCGGTGAGCAGAGCCGTCCCGGCGCCCGTCTTTGTGGCCGCCTTCCGGTGTTTAATCAGCAGCGCTGCCACCGAGCGAGACCTGAGTCACCCCGTGGAACCTTTGTTTTTGGGAAAAACAAGCTGCAGTGCAGTGGGTAGCAGCAGCGCCGCCGAAATCCTAAAACAATAGCGACATACATTGAGACAGCAGCAGCGGTCTCGGGTCCGGTCCTATGTCACACGAAAACACATACCGCAGTGGCGAGGCTGGTAGCTACATTAGGACATATTGGACTCTAATTATGTATCACGCCTTGCAATCTAGACTTGATTTACCACTAGCTGCGTATCTGTGACGTGTTGATGTCGAACGTTATTACCGATACGGCGTTGTCATCGCTCACTTTTTGTCTCTGCTGATATCAGGTATTTCAAACGGTACAACTCTGTGCAACGCAATATCATGCAGGTATAATTTACTGCTATCGGATGTGACCATCTGTGCCGCCTATGCACTGACATTTGTCTCGTCGTGTCTGTTGCAGCTCCGTCGGCGCCGCCGCAAAGTCTGAAGGCGCGCGTCGTAAACGACACGAGCGTGCTGCTCCACTGGCAGCCGCCTCCCAAAGAGCACCGCAACGGCCTCCTCACCGGCTTCGTGCTGCGCCTGCTGTCCAACGCCACCCAGCTGCGGCGCAACTTCACGCTGAACGCCACCACGCTGGACCTGCGGCTGACCTACCTGGAGCCGCACACCGACTACTGGGTGCAGGTGGCGGCCGTGACCGCGCCCGGCACCGGCCCCGACACGGAGCCTCTGGCGTTCACCACCGGCGGGCCGCCGCCGCCCGCCGCCGGCGACAGCGGCCGCGTGCTCGACCAGGCCTGGTTCATCGCTCTCCTCGGCTTCCTGGTGTTCGTGGTGGCGGCGCTGGTGATTGGGTTGGTGTACGTGAAGCGACAGCAGACGCTGAAGCAGGGCCTGTCGCCGCCGCGAGGCAAACAGAGCCAGGAGGCTATGTGGGTGGACCGCAACTGGCGGCCGGCAGACTCTGATAAGGACTCGAGCCTCTCGGAGCAGAAGCTGCTCGGGTACCAGCAGCACCACGTGGGCGGCGGCCCGCCCGGTCAGACGGCCGCCCTCTGCGCCGAGTACGCCGAGCTCGACCAGCTGCGCGACAACGGTCCGTACGCGTCCGCCTGCGTGATCCGCCAGAACCCGCTCAATCGGATGTACAGCCTGCCGGGCGGGTACGCGGGCGCGCAGAGCCTGCCCGGCGGCAGCGGCAGCAGCGCCAGCGGCAGCAGCGGCAGCAGGGGCTTCCCGACGCTGCCGGCCGGCGCGGGGGGCGGCGTGCCGCACCAGCCGTGCCAGCCGCGCCTGCTGGACGTCATACCGCCGCCGCCGTCACACCCGCCGCCAGACGAGCGGGCCACCTACCACCGGGCGGGCGCGGCGCGCGGCGGCTACCAGTACCGCGACCCGTGCGTCGAGTACCGCTGCTCCGAGGGCGAGTCCTCGTATGACGAGCGACCGCCGCCGGGCGTCGTGCCGTGCGCGCGCCGTGCAGCGCCGCCCGTCGAGACCGATGACTCGGACTATTACGGCATCCCGGCCGGCGGCGGCTACCACGGCTACGGGCTGCGCTCGGCCGCGCCGGTCGCCTACCCTCACATATCCAGTGCTCAGCCAGCCGGCGGCGTTGTGGAAAAGCTGGCCTAGTCGTTACCGCCGCGCCGATGGACGTTATATGGACGTTATTTGGACGTGATCGTCGTACGATGGACGCGCGGGCGTTCTTCGTGTCGGCCGAGCGTGCGCGCGAGTCGCCGTTGTGTATTTATTGCGCCGCCTGCTTGTAGGGTCTCCGCGTGCGCGGCATCAGTAACCGCTTGGTGTCATTCCCGTGCCATCTGCACGTGCGGCGGCCCGTGGCGACCGTCGCACGTGCCGCAATAACCCGTGCGCCACCGCGGCCGCTGCCCTGCAGAGCCGCGAGCGCGCGCCCTCGTGCTCCGATCGGCCCGTTTGTATTTTGTTAAAGCTGTGATATGTACAAAGTAGGCAAGAAACCTGATCAAACAGGAATAGAGACACGATTATAGACTGGTGTGTACCTGTCTTCCTTCGGGCTGGGTTTCAATTAAGTTTCACCCGGTGTTTATCGGGCCGGGTATCGCGGTATGCACACACTCGCAGAGGAGGCTGGTCCGGCCGCTAGATATGGATCGGCTCGCTGATGAGATGCCGCCGCGGACAAAGGTGCAGCGCGGCCAGTGAGTGGTCGCCGGCGCTACGGGAGGGTAGCCAGCAGTCACCGGCAGTGTATAACAGACAGCAGACACCAACAGGCACTGGCAGGATAGCACACAGCAGCAGCCACCGACCGGGGCACAGCAGACACCATCAGCCACTGACCGGGGACCCAGGTGGTAGCGGACGCAGGAAGGAGAGCGATGAGGGGAACAGTCAGGGAGGACAGGGGAACGCGGCATCGGCGGGGGTCCGAGAATCGGGGCACGGTGAGGCTGCAGGATGGAGGCAGGGGTATGAGGCATGAGACAGGGAGTGGGTTCAAGGCTACCGGAGCAGTGACACGCGAATTCCTTATTCGCATTCCTCGCAAAATATCACAATACTTGTTAGGTAGTTTCAATGAAACATAGTTAAAAAGAACGGTGTCCGAATTAATAATATCAGAGGACAAGCGAAGACAGACAGTGAAGTTCAATGTCCAATGCTCATTGTGCCCGATATTGATTAGCAGCACGAATTGAGCGACGCCGCAGACATGAAGAGTGGAAAATCGACGAATAATTCGTCGCCGCACGGGCATGACTGATAACCCTCAGGCTAGCTCGTTTGATCTCGCTAACAACGTCAGCACACAGGGCTCTACCCGGCATTGATCATCTCCGCATTTAACTGAACTCCTTTCAACCGTGAGCGACCCTGCGCTGGGGGGGGGGGGGAGGGAGCCCCTCACCGAGGGAGCCCGCACGTGTCGCCCGGGCGGGCGCAGCCACCATTGAAATCCACAGGGGCGCTCCCACGCTCCACACAGTTTGTTCAATCGACCGGTGGCCGCCGGCTGTCAATTCAGCGGGCAGGTCGGCCGATCGACAGTCCTCAGAGTGCACTGTTGGCCGGGCCGAGGGCCCTCAGAGTGCGGCACTCCCCAGCCGCACCGCGCGCAGCGAGAGGGCCGACCCACGGCGCTACCGCTGGATGGGACAATTAGGCGGCATAGCTGTAAACTCGGCGACCTCAGAATGGAGGGTCCTCAGACGCATTGTGGTATATTCATTCCTCCGCATTCTATTCATGCCTGAAGCTGTTTTGCTTGGTAGCAAAAAAGCTCTACGAACTGGTATTTAAACCTATATTGAATGCTTAAGAATGGACATGGGGCAGCGATTTACGTCTTTCAACAAGTACCTGAGAAGAAATGACATAAAAGACGTTTGGTACAGGTCTTTTGTTAAATCAGGATAGCATGACCTGCAGCTTAGAAAAGACCTGACAATAAATTCATCTTCATGCTTTAATTTACCTACCCTTTTATGGAACTCAACGAATACGAAAGAACTACCAATCGTCCAAGTGAATATTCGCTGCTGTTATAGCAGAAAAAGTTACCGATCTCCGCCCCAGTCCCGACCGCTGCTGCTGAAATATCGCTCGCGCCCACGACCTCTCACTGAGCGCGTCTCATCCTCTGGAAACAACAGATCTCTGGCGTTCCTCTCGGCTTCTCTCCGGGCCGCTCCGTAAACTTGTTATCCCATCCGATCCATCGTGGCTGCCGAGCCGCTTTGTGGCTCGATCGACAGCATACAAACAGCTAGAGCGAGCGGCGCTCTCAATACAGGCGCCGTTCCGCGACGCCACCGCCCTCCGTGCCCTCCCCCCTCCTCCCTCCGCCCCCCGCGCCCCCTCCCTCTTCCCTCCGCGCCCTCCGCCGCTGCTTCTGAACGCCCGCTGGCAGCGGCCCATACAGCCGATGTCGGTACTTCTCACGCGCATTAACAGGACGAACAGCGGGCTCGGCGGCTGGTGATCAGAGGCCGGGTTTGTCTAGTTTTGTGTTTCACAACCGGACAGAGTCTGAGGCGGGGGCGCGCGCCGCCCTTGTCCCTGGGGCAACAGGGCACTAAACGAACTAACGCCGCCAGCCTTGGAAACTGAAGGAATTTGGATAAACACAGGGAGCGCGGATAAAATTTCAAACATGCCGTGAGTTTTGTCATGTGGAGTGCGTTGATTAACTCACAAGCGAGTAAAATTAATGACATGGATTACAGCTTAAAACTACCAAAAATGTCAGGCAGGCTACGGAGCTGAACATTGGATAAATACGGAGGTCATGCATTCAGTATGCAATTCAATTTGAGTGACGCACCTAATGGTTAATTAAAATGGTTTTATTTTGAAATCAGATAATTGGCTAAAAATGACTTGCATGCTCATGACTAGGATCCAGGTGGATGTACAAATGTTAACGACACACAGAAGACCGTCTTTCTTTGCTTGCAAAATATGCGCACATGTAATCGGGCACACCAAATCCTAACATATGTCCTGACAGGTGGCCCTACAGGGCAATTGCCATCCAATCTCCCGTGCCACCCCCAGCGGCGATTCACCCAATCTACTTACGGAGCTAATTCGCTTATGGGGGCGGGCCAGACGCCCGGCCCATCGCGTTTAATCGCCTCCTTCGAATTGCAGAACGGCCTTGACATTCTCAAGCCGGTGGCGGAGGACGCGATTTGGTCGGGAAATGACCTCGGCTGACGGTCGACCGCCGACGGCGTCTGAAGACAGCCACCACCCAGGTGTATTAAATCAGCTCCCGGACTCCCAGATCGTCCGGAGCTGCCGGCGGTCAGCCGGAATCCCGGGAGTCCAAACCCAATCGCTCCCCGGGTTCGAGTCAGACGTGGAGCAGACCTGAATTACGCCCCCCGGGGTACCGCTCGCAGCCAGATGGACCTGAACTGTTTATCCAACATATTGGAAAAGCTCATCACGGCGCTATTTACAGCCGGTGAGATTTGATGGCAAGCATCTGCCGCCGGCGGAGTCGGGTCGTTTCCTCTGGCGCGCGGCTGTCGCCGGGGAGGAGGCGCCGGTTAAAACGAGCGATGGGCCGGTTTGGAGTGCCGCCGGACCGGCCGATGATGGTGGCGGCGCGTGAGCTCGGCCCGGTCCGGCAGCTTATCGGACCGCCAGTTGGCCCGGCACCTGGAGAGGCGGCTGAGTCAACACCGACCGGCAATAATACACGGCTGAGATGTTGACTCCTCCGGGTCGGCCCGTGCACGGCTTCAGACGGCGGCTGCAGTGTGCCACGGGCAGCTAAGCCCATAATTGACCACGATAGGCATTCGGGACTACATAGTATTTACGGTACCGCCCCTGGAAGCGGTGGTGCAGGCATTGGTAGACGTTTTTCTCTAAATTGCGCCTTCGTTTTAAGTGAATATGTCGCTAGAAATTTGTTGACTATTGCATAGCAGTATACCAGTAGATCGTAGGCATAATTGCAAAGAAAGATATAGGTATTAGCGTGAGCTTATATTTCAGAAAAGAAAATGCAGGATGTAAACGACACATGTTACCACTTTCATGCCATGTCTAGGCATAAAATAAAAGCCTTCAAAGGATGCATAAATAGTTACAAAATTCACAACATAATGCCAACAGGCTGAGCGTGAGCACCTATAGCGGATTCGGTGGGTTCTCACGTTCTCTGTTCGTTTGGCGCCACCCCTCGCCGCCGTCCTGGGAGTCTGCTTCCCAGTACCGCCCCGTGAGAGAGCTAATGACCGCGGCCGGCGGCGCGAACACACCGTGTGTTTACCTGCAGATGAGGTCTGATTAGCTGCTCTGAAAATCCACAATGCCGCTCCATTACGCCACTGGTCAGCCGGTGAAGCAGCGACTATTGTTCTGTGGTGGGCGCCGGCGGCGCGGAGGCGCCCGCGGCCCAGCAGGTCGGCTGTTTGTACTCTGTTGACAGGCTGCAGCCAGCGGGGAGCCGGCTCCTGATGGCCGGTCGACCCGCGCTACCCCACTCTCACTGCCGCCCACTGTCCCGTCTCCGGTCGGCCCCAGCCGTCCGTCACCTCCCACGCCGCTGTTGTCACGTTTCTGTTGCGTCGGCTCTCGCTGTCCGTCTCACCCTTCACGAGCACCTCTCGGGTCTATCGGCGCCGCGGCGGAGGTCTGGACCCACTCAGACACGGCCTGCTCCTCCCACGACCCAACGCGGTCCGACCCGGCCCAGCCCGACCTGGTCAGGCTGAGCTCAGGCGCCTGGCCAAAGGCTGCACGTGGCACCCACACCGGCCTGAACACGCATATGGTGGCTGGAATTGACTCGCCACATGTGGTCTAGCTCCCGAAACAAACGAGCGAAAATATTAGGGATGGCGAACAACCCTAATACAGTTTCTACGCGCCACGGTTCAGGATAGGTCGGGACCGGGAGCCAAACCGTTAGAAATATGGATGCTACAACGAATGTGGAAAATTACATATTCCATTAAAGACAAGGGATATAGTCGACAAAATTGCCATCAACATTTTTGTGCCGAGAAATCAGGCAAGATGTTGGTTTTCCATTTATACATTGTACTCGATAAGCGTTCACCTGTAGCTAGACTGTACCGCAAGACAGCTGAGTACTCCGGAACAGCATACCCACCCACAATAAATACCGCATACCTACTCCTCTTACGGAACATCTGTATTTGTGGTTAGTTAGAACTAGGGTGGCCCGCGTGCTCCGCAACGCGAAAAGGGATATTTTCGATCGGCGGGTGTTCGGTTGTTCTTGTGTCGGTTGGGTTATCTATCCATTTCGGTCGATTGCTTTTTGACGGCTAAACGTTTTGGTTTGTGGAAAAAATATCCACCGCATCGAGGTGCCCGTGTCTGATAAGCATGCTTTCCACTTCAGAATCTGTCAAATGTGCTTTATAATTGAGGTGCGTAGTTTTAAGACCACGGGCGTAGGAACGTCATGAAAAGTGGGTGGGCCACCCTGTCAAGGGGCCTCCTTTTCCAGGGGGCCTCCTATTTTCAGGGGCCTCAAAC